CCCCTGCTGGCCGGGTGCCAACCCACCTCCCCACTACCTCCCTCTTGCCCCCCCAGAATTCATCTCTCTCGGGCCTGCATCAGAACAATCTTTTCTGCTCCTGCCATCCCTTTCTTCAGCCCCCTTTTCTGCTGCTTTTGGCATTTCAGCTGCTTTGGCCTCTCGCTCGTGGCGTCATCCTCGTTCCTTAAAAGGTGGACATCCCTCCTCGTCCAGCTGCGTGGTGGGCTGCTGTGGGAGGCGTGCAGGACCAACACCCGGATGCTGCAGTTGTAGCATTGCAGGTGCCTTGCTGGAGAACAAGCAGGAGAAAACCTGAAGTTGCTTTGAAAGGTGGTGGTTGGCAACTATACGAAATTTCCAGGACATATGGTGCTTGGCAGATACGGAAAGGCCCTTCTGAGGACTGAGAGAAAGAGAAGGGGCATGGGGCACGCGGTGCTGCGGGAAATAGGGAGAACCATCAGGAAGGCCGGGACTACCTAGAGAAGATAAATGGATCAGATGAGACCAGTGGGCATGCGAGTCTTAGAAATGATTTGTACTTATTCTTCAGTGTTGCAGCTGATAGCTGATTTGTGAAACTATTTTTGCCCTAGACTAAGTTTATTTAAAACTATGCACATTCTAAAAAGCATGTGCAAGTGCTTCTGATGCCAGTGGGCACCTGCAGAAAAGTCAAGGGGAGGTATCCCTCTAAAACTATGAGACCAGAACTTAAAGAATATTACAAACAGGGGAAAATCAAGAAAAATAGTGATAATTGAGACGTGATACTAGTTTTTGAGTGTACGCTTGTACACCTTATTGAAGGACTATGTGAGCAGATGCATTGGAGTCCGTGAGGATTACTCAGATTAATAATGGTAAGAAGATCAGGTGCTGAGAGAGGGAAAAGTAGCGCAGATTCCTGATTTTGATAGATAAGTAATTGTATTTAAATACTGTATGTGGAATCACAGGCCTATGCCTTACCTCTGGCATAATATTATTATAATTACATTTTGCAAGGAAAGTCCTTTTCATCCGAGACTCAAACATTTTACAAACACCACACCTTAATGAAGTAAGTAATTATCCCCATTTTACATATGGCTACACTGAGGCATTAAGAAGTGACAGCATTTAAGATTTTAACTTGAATTATACTTGCCCACGTATAGATCAGAGCTTTTAATCACAATATGAAAGTGACATAAAGGGGTCAGAATGAGATGATAAAACAGAGCACACAGCTCCTGTGCCCTGAGTTTATACAGTCCAGCTCTGTCCCCTCCCCCCACCCCCCCCAAAAAAACAATTTCCGTATAGCGAGTGCAAAGATACACGAGAGGGTAAGATGCATTTTAAACTAAGGTTTAAGTTTTTAGGTTTCTGTCAAATTCTGTCGACGCTGGGGGAGGTGTAAGGATTTGCTTTTTAGCACAGTGAAGATTGACTTTCACATAAATGCTTCAATGTGGTGTGTTGGTAACCTAAGTCTTTCAGCTGAATCCCTGGTTTGCAGCTGGCACTTTTACTTTCCTAGGGGTCTCTGCGTTTGAGGAAAACTTCTTCAATGACCTTAACTGCAGATGAAAAAATGTTGCAAGAAGAAGCATAAACATGCTGACAGATAAAGTTTTTAGAGGGGAGAATCTATATATTTGTTACCCGCAGCACTGTCCCTAGAAGAAATAAAAACCGATTACTTGTCAGCAAGAGCTTTTGCAAAAAAGTAAGCTTAACAAAATCTGCAAAATGAAATATATTTCAAACCAATCCAAACAAGGAACGCTTGTGAAGTTAGGAACAGTGAAGACAATTACTTATTCATGAGATTCCTTAGTGCAACGAATAATATCCGTATTAGACTCTTAGAAATTGTAGTAGTAGATGCTTTAGAAGTACAGAGCTTCACAGAGATCATAGCCAGTTACTGCAGTGTCTTCCATGAAGAAATTGGCTGTGTTGGTGGTACTTCCGCTTTCTGAGACTGTTGAAACCTTGAACCTTTACATATATCTTTGTTCCCCAGAGAGCTGCTAGGATTATAGCACCCTGAGATTAAAGCCAAGAGTTTCTACCTGGTTCTTGAGGTGTGATTTTAGAACATACTAAAGTTGGATTAGAGGTTCCTATGGCTATTTCAAAAATGTGGTGTTAAAATGATCCAAAGTATTGGTCTGATTCCAAACCTCTGTGCCCCTTCAAATTTGTCCGGAAAACTTCAATGTTCTTTCAGTAATATATTGGTTGGATTTATGCATTATCTTTCTGTTCCACTAGGGAGTCATAGTATAGCTTTTTTTTTTTGCTGAAAAGTGGCAATTCTAAATACTATTTAGAGACTTTAATGAGTTGCTATAATGATTTGTGGAATTTAACTCTAAAATATTCCCTCTGCTCTGGTATGAATGAATTTTTATATTAGTTGCTTCTGCAACTCCATCAGGATTATTACATTAAGATGCTCAATGGAACAGTAGCATAGATCAGAATTAAATGATTGACATAGGACTGTACCTCAGTTGCCTTAGCTACTGGTCTTTGGTATATCTTGGGCAAGTAGCAGCGCATCTCTGTGCCTTAGTTTTCTTCTCTGAAAACTGAGATAATGATAGTGATCTTAATAAGATACTTTTTGATTTAA